AGAGAGAGAGAGAGAGAGAGAGAGAGAGAGAGAGAGAGAGAGAGAGAGAGAGAGAGAGAGAGAGAGAGAGAGAGAGAGAGAGAGAGAGAGAGAGGAGAGAGAGAGAGAGAGAGAGAGAGAGAGAGAGAGAGAGAGAGAGAGAGAGAGAGAGAGAGAGAGAGAGAGAGAGAGAGAGAGAGAGAGAGAGAGAGAGAGAGAGAGAAGAGTTAGAGTGAGAAATAGACACACACACACACACACACACACACACACAGAGAGAGAGAGAGAGAGAGAGAGAGAGAGAGAGAGAGAGAGAGAGAGAGAGAGAGAGAGAGAGAGAGAGAGAGAGGAGTGAGAGAGACACAGAGAGGGAGAGAGAGAGAGAGAGAGAGAGAGAGAGAGAGAGAGAGAGAGAGAGAGAGAGAGAGAGAGAGAGAGAGAGAGAGAGAGAGAGTTTGTTTGATGCTTTATCGATGGCTCTAATCTCTCTAACATGCTCGTTTACATTTGTGTTTTTGAGAATAATATTACGCGTCTGTTCGTGTTGAAAGTTCAGACAAGGAATGATAAAAGTCCAATTTATTCATTAGGTACCGAATCTAAGAAGAATTAAATTACAGAACAGAATAGCTGTCCAAGCCTGAAATATTATGGGAAGGGAAATGAACAACGAAAGTACAGTTAGAGTAAAGAATAGAAGTCTGAAACGTGAGAAGAAAAAAAAAAAAAAAAAACACGACGCGGCCAGTTTGTTAAAATTCTCCGAGGCTGAACCCAAGGAATATTCGTAAATACGGACGTGTACAGTATATACACAGAAATGAAAGCATATCTGCCTCTCCGTCAGATGTATTTACTTTTATTTATCTATCTATATGGTAGATATGCATGTCTAGACTGATACACATGAATTTATTTGTGCATATGCATGTTATACTATATACAACTAGGTGTTGATGACAACAGTATGTGAGAGGAGCTTTGATCTCGATAGAATCTGTTTTTAGAACTGAAAGAGATTGAGCACATTGAATAAATGAAGGAATATATGAAGCCAAACGATGATAATAAACTTATTGTCCGTAAAATTAACATTCATTGGGGTCGGGCCTCGCACAGTTTTAACAAATAAGCTGTTAATCTATAGTCTGCATTAAAAGAAAACTTAATCATGAGGCTGAAAAGAAACAATTGATTATCCTGATTAAGTTTAGAGAATACATTCTTTCAACAGCTCGTAATTTTTTTTTCGTTGCTGTCCATTTTTCTTATAGGAAAACATCAGGGAAAAAAATCACAATTTCCATTGACTTTAAAGTGGCGCCGAAATAAAGATAAAATCAGGTTTGATTTCGAAAATTCATTGCTTGCTTGTTCCATCTTTATCATAGTTATTCTTATCACCATTACTATTATCATTATAATCATTATTTATAT